GGGATGGTGCCTTAAACACTACTTAATAGATAAAACCCAGTTTGTCCAGTATGCTCTAAGCATGCCTCCCTCATGCCAACAGTTTCAAGCTCAGTATAACATGCAGCTGTTGGCACTCAAATATACAGCTGGTAGCAATGCTGCTGCTCACATTTTGTATTACCTGGGCCAGGCACAGACTTGTATAAATGATTGGAAATTGTTCTATACTTGTAACAAAACAGAAGTTTGGCACCCATAGACTGGTTTAAAAATGGCAGAACCTAGTTTCAGATTTGCTCCCTCCTCTCCCCTCCACCTCCAACAAAGGGCAAATGTGTGTTCTGTTTGCTACCAATCTAAACCTAAGGTGCTTAGATTGATTCTACCTCAGTTTTTTTTCAATATCTGTATCTAGCCCTAATGATTAGAGTGCTTACTAAGCAGGAGACATGAATGCCATTCACCAGTTCCCTGGACAATGCCTTTGACCATTAAGCTGTAGAATAGTCTGGGTAGGGCACACTCTGGTAGGGAAACCTAACCAGAATACAAAACTAAGAGGGCTAGGAGGAAAACTAGCAAGAGGGAGCATGACACTGTAGCTCAAGGGGGGATGGAGGGTGACAAAAGGAGTCTTAGTTTCCAGTTTCTGCCTGCAGGGTTTTTTTTTTTAAATCAAATTAATGTCAAATGGCTAAATTGTCCCAAGAGCAGGGACCAGAACCCAGGAATCCCTCCTGAGAAAGTGCACCCCCCCCCATCATTGGGCAACAGAGGCAGGCTTCCTCTTGCTTGTTCTCCTTCTGGGCCCTGGTTCATGTACTTTTCTACCCAGGGGCTGAACTTCCATGGAGGAGTGGACAACATTTTAGCCTAAGTACTTTACAGCTGTGGCTCTCTTTTAGGGGGTGGTAAATGTGGGTTTAAATTACATTTAAATTAATTTCTAGTTGCCTCCTGACTCAACACTGAAACATTATGAATTGTCCTATGGAGGCCTCTAACTTTCAATTTTTACTGATCCTTGGTGCATATCTCCATCTATTTGGATCTGCCTCCTGGAGCAGGATATAAATCTTGTAGTTGCACTGAAACTTAAAATGAAAGCATTCACAGGGCCAATCCAGAGCAGGCTCTTTATTTGTGGACAAACCCTGAAATCTTCACAGATTATAAGACAACTAGTTTATTAACTGCTTTTACCTCCAGTTCTTGGTATATTAATTCTCAGTTTTAAATTACCAACAAACTGAATTATTATTTTTTCTAAAAGCTCTCTAACTTCAGGAGAATTGGCTTGATCTTTCAGACGAGTTCCCTGAGCTCCTAGAACCTGAGAGTTCTTGCATAATGCTTTCATGGTGTGTGTAAAAATAAAAGAACATTTATCCTTGTATCTGTACCTTGTAAGTTTGAAAAACATTCCCATAGCATAAAGCAGCCTGTATCAATCTTTTATTCATCATTAAAATAGTAGTGGTAAATTTACAAAACTTTCTTAGAAAATTCATGAAAACCTGGTAGTTTAACCTATGAATAGTTATCATTTTTCTTAGTGTGTCACTGTACACGTACACCTGCTCTCCTAAAACAATGGGAATGTTCCTATTTCTACAGTACTTGCTATGTCACAAATTATTCTACTTATCCTTTCAAACATTCCCACTTCCATATGCTTCTGTGTTAGTCTTAAAAGGAACCTGATTCATTTCAATCCTCTCTTCTTTTTCAAAATGACCCTAGAAATCCACTTCCTTTTTTTTTGTCTTGCAAAACTTACCAAAGGAACTAAAAGTTTATATTTCTCTTAATTCACGAACAAACCTGAACTTTAAACATCTCAGTGCCTTTACAATAATTAGCTATGAGGCAGAAGTCTTCATCTCTTGAAAACATGATCGAGATGGAGAGTGAAAACTAATTTTCACCTATACTGTATGCACTGAGTATAGATTTCATAATTTAATGTATACAGTTTTGCACAAAATCTGTGCTGGGGTTAATATTCAGAGAAAATTCAAAGATGGAATAAAAAAGTGATACAGGCATTACATCAGAGTGGGATTTTTTAGTTTAGAAAACAGGTAAATACAAGTGGTTACAGTAGAATTATAAACATCATAATGAAAGAACTAGGCGTCATTTGATAATCTTGAGAAGTGGCATATCTCAAACTGATAAAAGGAAATACTTTTCTATCAGTGTGTAATTAATTTTTAGAATCCCTTGCCAGTAGATGTTACCAAGGCCAAAATCTTGGTAGGAAAAAGAACTGGCCATGGATAATGAAAACATCTTCAGTAATATTAGCTAAGATTAAATGTCTTTTTTTCAATGAGGTGTAGACAAACATACATCAGGCACGACCAAGCTACTGGCTGATGGGGATAAAGTGACATTTCCTGTATATGCAAATTGTTTCATTGGAAACTGTGCTTTATTTCTGAGCTTCTGGAACTGGCTACTTTCACAAATAGATCATTCTACTACAGACCAAAGAGCTGCATCAGTATGTCAATTTCTAATTAGTCATCCAGGTAGGCTGAAATCAGTGATCTCCTATTGATACCTTCCAAACTGAGTGGGCAGTTTTCAGTCGTTGAGGCAAAGAATAGATGTTGATGAAAGAAGGGGGAGAACTCTCCATTGACACTTTCAACCCACCTACTCCCTCACAGTCAAACTCTACAATGGTATATGTTTAATTTTTCCAAACACACTTTTGAGACCAAGTCAAGGCTCCCTTTTCTCCCCTCGCACCTCCTTGGAAAGTTTCTAGTGGTTAGCACAGAGAAAGAGAGAGATCGAGAGAGATAGTGAGTAGGATCTATAGCTAGCTGGTTTGAGAGGTAACAACTCCACGGGCACATCTACATGGGAAATTAAGGTAAATGAATAAATTCTGGTGAATATTGCTGGGTTGGAGCAGCCCCAGCTGGTGGGGACCTGGGGGCACAGGGGACCTGCCATCCCGGGGTTGCTCCAAATTAGCTCAATGTGTGCAGAGGGGCTGGCAGATTGTACATGCGCCCCATATGATTTAGTACACTTTTTTATGAGAACCTAGGTAGCTCCTTTCCCAGCCTATGTACACCGGGACCAAAACAGGCTCAATTTTGGTGGTTATGTAGCCAATTCATGTGTGATTCTGGTACCCCATAGTTACTCATATACTTCATTTGAGTTAAGATTTGACCTATGGTAAAAGATAACATAGTATTGTTTTACTGTTGATTTAAGTTAGTAACAGTACCCTGCACCTTTTCCCTCTTTATCCAGGTATCTTAGAATATCTCGGCTATTCATTAATATTTCCAAACACTTTCCGAGACTCTTGTTTATGTTCCTTTGTTTTTCTTGCAATGACATATAAGGAATTTATTTATCCTCATACCTTCTTTCTCTCCCCTGCCTTTTCAGGTTTTTCTTCTTCTTTAGGAATTTTACTGCACCAGAGCAGTGAAATTAAAGTGAAAGTTAGAAAGGTCCTAACAGTGAAGTCTGGGCTTGGTGTTACTGTTCAGGCCTAATAACTGAAAACATTTGGATTGTATATATATGCACTAGAAAGTTTACATTAAAATGGACCAGTATTTTAATTTTTCTGTTTTTTCAGCAGCATCGGAGTGCATTTTATAGATTGCTAGCTTTTTATGTGAGGAGTGAAGAGTTTATCTTTAACAATACATCGCCATGTGTTACTCTCTTGCTCTGAGAACAATATCATTTTGTGAATTTTCATAAACAAAATATTTTTCTTTGGAAATATGAGGAAAAAACCTACAATAGTGTTTCAAACCCCATTCCCATGGCAACTTACACACATAACTTTATGGAGTGTGAATAATCCCATTAAAGTTGTTATGACTATTCACATGTGAAAAATTAGGTACGTACATAAGTCTATGCATAAATTATTGTATATATACTTAATTGTATATATTTTTACTATCAAAATGCCCAGATTAAAATAAGAATCTGCAATGTTTTTCTTAAAAAGAGGTTCTAAAGAATGTAGGTAGATAGTTGTGCATATGTGAGAAACGGGGAGAAAGAGAGAGAGAATATCTGTACTCATTTTGTATGACCAATGACCAGTATCAAAATACTACCTTCAAAGCTGAGAAAAATCTTTTGGCTTACTACAAGGAAATACCATTAATGTTTTTTGTCTGTATTCCATTAGGGCTTGGCAGTTAGTTTCCAGCTTGGACAGAAACTTTGTTCACCTGCAAAAGTAACTAGGCTTCCCTCTTAATTCTTTCATTTTGTGTGTATCTAAACTTCTCTTGCTTTCACACAAAAACAGGTCTACATTTTATTCCTAATATTGCAAAACTTCACTGACTGATTAACAAGCCTTGGAATAAACATCCTTTGAGAACCATGATTAGAACTGTAATGCAAGTTGTGCTGCTGAACAGAAAGCACATAGAGGGAAATGTTATCATGATAGCTATACATATAAGCTAAAACCATTTTATAGATTTTTAAAAGAATTGCTGTTTTTTTATTTCTCATTTTGAAATACTTTATTACAGACAGTAGCTATAAGCAGTAAAAAGCTATACACTGCCTGATTAGAACTTTTGAATTATTTTATGAACTGTTATGATTTATGATTTTTTCCCTTCTTTTATAGTCTATAAATCTAAATAGCTTTTTTTAAAAAAACAAAAATAAAAACTCATTTCTTTTTCTAAAATTTCCACAAAATGTATTCAGGAGTAGAGCTTAGTCCTTATTTAAACTAAATCATAATCCCCTGTGCTTATGCTGATGCTGAGAAATTGGTTATGATGATGGAGAATGTTTGCTCTCCGGCACTAGTGGCTTGTAAGATGATCCACCTTTGAAGTTGTGGTAAAACCTCTGAAACACTATATTTTTGAGTTGGGTGATGTTGAAATCCGTGTCCAGGTCCAAATTCTGCTCTCAGTTACAGCAGTGTAACCCCATGGATGGTAGCCTTATATGACTTCAGTGGGATTGCACCAGCATAAACGAGAGATGAATTTGGCTCATTGTACCCAAACTTTTTTTTTATACATAGAAATACTATGTAAAATATGCAGTAAGGGTCAAATTTTGCTGGCATATTGGGCGTTAACAATAATGTAATTTACTGAATTAACACTACTGTAATCAAGGGTAAAATATTCAGAAGTGGATTTTAATAGCATTATGCTCCATAGCTAATTTTAAAGTAGAATGCAAAGTGCTATAAGATTCTTGTACATAGGTGATATAGAGACATAACATTATGCTTTTTTAATCATTTGAAAGTCTTTGCCATTTTGACTTCTTACCCACAGAGTTCAGAAAGTGGAGCATTTAGTACAATACCCTCTTAGTAAGGCCATTCATGGGAGCCAAGACCCACATTCTGCTCTTGATTATGCCTATGCATCTGAAATGAAATTAATGAGCTTGCACGAGAGTAACAGAGAACAGAATGTGCCCCTGAGTGCTTTGTGTCTTGCAAAGGATTTTTAACTTAGTTATAAACCAAAATACAGTAGCTTTAAATCAGAGGTTGCCCTTTATAAAGTTAAAAAGAGGGAGGATTATATTTTAGCTGAGCATTAGGTTGTCACTAGAAAAAAATAATAAAGGAATGTAGTGTCACATGGCAGGAAAAGTAGCAAGTTGCTGAAAGCTGGATAATTTAGGGATATAGAGATGTCACTTCCTCCCTTTGCCAGGCTGTAAAATTCTTTGTAATTCCCACTGGTAAAGCTGCCAACATAAACAAAGAAAAAAACCCTGAAACTTCCACACAAGTCTTTTGATGAAGACTATTCTATTTGCAGAAATGCATTTAAGCAGTACAGTGCTTGATACATTCTCATTTTTGAAGCATCATGGACTGAGTAGAAAGATTTCATGAGGATTACGAAAGAATGTTAAAATGTAAGCAGTAAGAAGAAAAACTGGTGAACTACATCTCCAAGGAACAAAATTTCACTATAAGACTTTTATCAAGCTTAAAATATATATAGAACTTGTCCCACAATTGCAATGTTATTAATAACTTTGTGATATCTTTTGATTTTTGCTACCTACTCATGTCACTTAAAATATCTTCAAAAATGATTGAGATCAATATTTAGTTTAAGCTCTCAGCACTAACTGTTTTATTATATGATTTATCTGTTAACGGATGGGTAACTTCAAACATAAATATAATTCTGTGGAAAGAGCTGTAAAAATATCCCTTTATAAAAAAGCAGTGGTCTATTAACCTCTCCTTTTCCCTAATGTTAAAGACATTTTATGAGAAGGTTTCACTGTATGCCGCTACATCACTGCATAAAAAATCAGAAACAAGAAAAAGTCTATTCAGACATGAAGCTGTTTCCAATCAAGGACCAGTTAACTGACCCAGTTAAGCTAGAGAAAAAGGGTATCTTTCTCAAGTGCCCACCACTGGCCATGGAGGAGCCAATTTTTTTTTTCACTGTACTGTACTGTGTGAATGAGGCATGGCATTCACTTTTAGTTAAGGCTCCATTGCAATACTTTTATACAATGCTAACTCTCAGCTTCAGTGGTAAAGTAGGCTAAGGATAAGCCATTTAGAGGCATAGCTTTTTCTTTAGGTTTGTTTAAGGGAATTGCTGTACAACCCCCTATCATTTCATGTTTCTTTCATATTTCTATATTTTAGTTATTTTTATAAAGGTATAAATTATATTGATCTGAAACCTTGCATTCAAACACAAGGCCCATTAAACCTGTGTACATGTATTTTGGAAATGAAACTTCACATGAAAAAAGAAAAATATCTAAATAAAAAAAATTAATTAAATCTGTACAGGAGGCCATTTTAAAGTAAACTCTAGAACAGAAGCATTAAATGAATTTAACATATTGAGTCCCATTTGCAAGTCTGTCTTAAATAACTTAAGAAACTGGTTTTTGTTAGTCCCTTGGGGTGGTCACTAAAGATAAGTTCCACTGTAGAGGAATCTACACGAAAAGCTGAAAGAAGCTAGTTGGCCATCTCAGCCAATGCGAGTTGAAGCTGTCTGGTTTATGAATTCACCTCCCTCTAAAAATGCAAATTAAATGCCACTGAAGAAGTTAAAACCTTATTTCAAAGAGTTCTTTCCCCTAGCTGGTGCCTTTGCATTTTTCAGGCAAGACAAAGGAGCTTGAATTTGGCCAGCTGAGAATTCCTTGGCAGGACAGAGTTGAGAGCTCATTGATGATGTAAGGCTGGATGAGTTGGTCCTGCACTGTCCAGCTCTTGAGGGTATGTCAGAAGTATGAGCAGTCCTGCTAGGAATGGGGACAGAGCACATCTGAGCACTCTCAGTTCTCCTTGCTGCATTACTGTCCTTTTGGTATCATTGCCTGGTAGTGTAAGTTAGAGAACTCTGGCTCTGACTCATGTTGGACTTATGGCCATTGCCTCTGATCAGTTCCTTGTTGGCCTCTGGCACATTTTTTTGCCAAAATAGCAGAGAATTAGAAGGTTTCTAGTGGATTCCTGACTTGGCATATTTCATGCTCCTGTTAGGTATTTTAATTGTTATATTGGAGGTTGCTGGCATAACTACAATTAAATTAAGTTTAGCACATCAAGGAAAGATACCATGAAACTTTGTCACATATGAGGCATGCAGTGTATTGTTCCACAAAATTACAATGCTAACGCTTTGAGGTTATGAGTTTTCTGACAATATGATCAAGTTTGAATATATTTATCTTTGGAGGAATATGATAACGGAGTTTAATCAATCAAAACAACCCTATAAAGGCTGAAGAGCACAAGAAATAAAGAATAATGTATGCACCTGAGGAAGTGGTTTATGTGGAGAGATTTTAACATACTCAAAAAAGAACACATCTGAGACACAAGATCTAACATCCTACTTTTATTAAAGTTTATTTTGGACAATTTATGATTAAAATGATTAAGACTTCAGACTGTACACAAGAAATACGGAAGTCAAAAGCTCTTAAAAGCTTACTGTCCTCTTCCCTCAGCTTCCACCCCACTATTTTTTTGTTTTTGTTTTTTGAAAATTAAAATTCTCCTCAGTTAATCACATTGTTTAAAGTCTGTTTCAATTCTTACTTGTGGATAAGAGAATTTTTCTTTTTAGGTGGTTCAGTTAAAGTGACATCAGCAGTCACAAAAAATCATACTATGATTTTTATCCTAAAATTTCATATGAGTCAGAATTGGGCATTACTGGAAGGGAGACCCAGAAAGCGGCAGCAAGTAAGACTGGTGGCTCAGTAGGTGAATTTAACCCCATGGATGAGACTGAATATGATTATACTGGACTTCTCTTTACTGCTGGAGGCATTGTTTTAATGGGACATTATCTTCATGGGACATTTTAAGAAAGAAAACTCCTAGACTATATTGCAGAAGTATTGTGCTAAATGAACTACATAGAAGAAAAAGATTTTGAACTCTTCAGTACTGAGATCATGCTTCCATTTAGCAGAAGGGTGTCCTGATTTTGACTCAAGGTTTAGGACACTACGGTAATGTAAACACGTAATAATTTTTTTGTGGTTTAGCATTGTATATCTTTCTGTATCTTTATCTTGACTGTCTCTAAATCTGAGTTATAAAATTCTTAACTTATTTTCTTTAGAAGAAGCAATCCGTTTTCATAAAACAAGTTCTTGAAACTTGACACTTATTTCAAGTATGATTAATCAGGATTAATGTCAGTAGCATAAGCTTAGGTGAAATGAGAGCAATTCATTACAAAATGCAATCTGGATAGTT